TGGGGGGGATCAACATAATTATTCAGAAATGAGAATTCAACACCAACGACGTAGCAACCCCTCTGCCGGCCCACAGCAACAATAGCAACAACAACAACGTAGCAACCCCTCTGCCGGCCAACAATAACAACATTAACAACAACAACGACAACAACAACAGCAACACCAACAACAACAGCAACAACCACAGCAACAGCAACAGCAACAGCAACAACAACAACATTAACGACAGCAGCAGCAACAACGACAACGACAACGACGACGACAACGACAACGACAACGACAACAACAACAACGACAACGACAACAACAACAACGACAACGACAACAACAGCAACACCGACAAACGCTGGCCGTGGCTCTGGCCCAGGGGGTCCGAGGCAAAGGGCGGGCGGGGGGGCGCAGGCCTCCCGGGACTCGAGCCGAGTCCTCGCCCGCAACGGCTGTCCTCAACGGCGACTCGCGGCCCCATCGCTCTTCTCGGCGGCGAGCGAGGGCGGCGAACGAGGGGCGAATGACAATAATCAAAACGGAAGGTTTTTCCCGACCTAGGCTCTGCCTAGAGGGTTCTTACTCGCTGGGCTTAAAGGGAGCCGGGCAGTGTTCCTCGCTCCAGGCGGTTCCCCCAGTATCCGCCCCGCGGTTCCCCCAGTTGCGCCCCCTTAGCTTAGCTTTGCTTATCTCATCTTAGCTTAGCCTAGCTTAACTGAGCTTAGCTTAGCTTAGCCTAGCCTAGCCTAGCTTAGCTTAGCTTAGCTTAGCAGACTAGCCTAGCTTAGCGTAGCTTAGCGTGGCTTAGCTCAGCTTAGCTTAGCGCAGCATCAGCATATCATAACATAGCATAGCGGTGCATATCATAGCATAGCATATCATAACGCAACATAGCATAGCGCAGCATAGCATAGCATAGCATAGCATATAATATCATAGCGCAGCATAGCATAGCATAGCATAGCTTAGCATAGCACAGCGCAGCATAGCACAGCATAGCATAGCACATTATAACGAAGCACAACACAGCAATGTTGCTTTCCTAGAGGCTCCAACTCCTGGGGAATAGGTCGAAACCTCTGGGGGTCGACGTCATGAAAAAAACATGACGTCGGGGGTCTGGGTACCCATACCTCTACCCTTCTCTCGTTTTACCGTCTTCTTGGGCCTCCTGCAGGAGACCCGTCGACACCTCTGGATTCGCCTCGCGGCGGCGGCGAGCGGGGGGGGAAGTGAGAGGGAGAAGACCCTCTCGGAAGGCGGTGGGGCTTCTCCTTGGAACGCTCCGGCCTTCTGAGAAGTGTTCTGTGCCTCCGGTGGAAGCTTAGAAGACTGGCCAGAAGGCGGGGGGGCTTCCGAGCCTTCTGAGAAGGCTTGCCCCCTCTCACTTCCTCCCAAACGCGCCGCCGACCCCAGCCGCAGGGACATACAAAAAACGGCAGTGGGACCTCGTTAGGCGTACGTCCAACACTTGTTGTGTCGCGGCGCTGGCGATGGCTCAGCGCTGGAGGGCCTCGGTCTGGTTGAGAAACGGCAGACCAGCACCAAGGGCGCGGGGGGCGGCGAAGACGGCCGCGGAAAAGGTACTGCGGGCGGGCGCGGCGCTGAGAACATAGACGTCAACACGCCAGCGCGGCTGCCCAAGCTCCGGGCAGAAGTCCTGCGAAACAGGAAATCCTCCCAACATCCTACCCTCTCATCTCATCGTCTGGCGGCCGTTCGCGAACGAACGCCGTACCGTGTTGGGAGCGCGGCCCCCTCCGTGAGGCAGCCGCCGGCCAGAGAATGATCGGTGTCGTACTCCGCGTCGTGCGCGGCGCGCGCGCGGAGCCCTGCGCAGGAGCGCCTTCTTCCACCAGCTCGCCCTGGGCCAGAGCGCTCCGTGCCTGAGCTGACTACCTACCAGACCACCCCAACCCAACCCGAAGACCCGAATTTCGGGTTGGGGGGGGGTACGGGTTCCATTTGTGTTTTTTCTATGTTCCCCGACCCCCCCCCACACTGGAAATGGAGGGCACATTGAGGCCTTCGGGTTGTTGGGGTGGTTTGGTGGGTGGTGATGAGCGTGCCCTTCTGGCGCCGCTCGCGGACGGAGCAAGAAGGCGTGCTGCCTCGGGCGTCGCGTCCCGGTGCCGTGCCTCGACGTGCCTCGACGGTACGCCGTGCGGGGAGCGAGCTCGACATGCCTCGGCGTCGCGCCGCGCGGGCGGCCCGTGGCGGCGGCGGCCCTGCTCCCCCCGCCCCTCCTCTCTCCTCCTGTCCGTCGGGAGATCGTCGAGAGTGCGTGCACGTCGTTCATTTCTAGTCGTGCTCATTTCTAATTGTGCTCGTTTCTAATTGTTCCGGGCCCCCTAGTGGCCAGGAAGAGGCCCAGGATAGAATAATTAGAAGTGAAAGGATCTGGATCCTTAAAAAATCGAAGAATTGTCGAAGGACTAGACATGAACAATGTGTACGGGTCGATACCAGTCCAGCTGCGTCACGTCGTGCTGGTCTCTCGTTGCCCTGCTCTTCTGGCGCGTGCCTCCAACTTCCCCGTCGAGTGGAAGCGGCAGAGAGCGCACCACCGCTGCGGAGCGTCACCGGGGCCTATCACGAGCTTGGCGGCCGAGGCCTCGGCCTCTCTGTCTCTCTTCGTCTAGTAACCTCCCTTTCCAGTTCTCAAGGGGCCCAAGGACACACAAACGAATACACACAAATCCCAGGATTCCCCCTAGGTTGTTCAAATATGTTCTGGGTTCTCGTTTCCCCCCCACACTTCCCATATGTGTCCAATATCTTCCTAGGGAGTCGACGATTAATTGTGTCTGTGTGTTGTTTCCCCTCCTGACTATCTCTCTATCTCACAACTTCTCGTTCGATTTCTGTCTCTCTCTCTCTCTCTGCACACAGGAACAAAAACAAGTATCCGCAACCTTTCCGCTGGGCACGGAGTGGGCGTGTCCTCAGGTCCTGGGCCCAATCCTCTAAGCCTCACTCCCCACTCCTGAGGAGTCTTGAAGGGGGGCCCCAGAATCCGAATTCTCCCTGGGTTTGTCGCGGTTCCCCTGGCGTTGCCAGAGTCTTCTCGCGTGACCTTCTCTGGCCCAAGAGGGCCCCAAGATGGGCCAAGAGGGCCCCAAGAAGAAGAGGCCTCCAAGAGGCCTCCCATTAGGGCCCCAAGAGACCAAAATCGTTGATTTGGCTTCGTTGTTGGAAAGGTTTTGGCGGTCTCGCCCTTTCGGCTTCCCGACGCTCCCAGACGGCCCTAGAGGCCCCCACGATCGCTTCAAGACGCCTAAGAGGGCGCCAAAAAGGTCCAACAGGGCCCCAAGACAGCCCAAAAGACGCCCAAACCGGCCCAAGCGGACCAAGAGGGCCCCAAGACGGCTCCAAAAGGAGCCCAAAAGAGAGAGCAGGAAATGAAAATCCGAGACTTCCGTCCCAAAAGGCCCCAAAGAGGCCCAACGAAGCGCCCGGGAGGCTCCAAGAGGCCCCCAATACAAGAGGCCCCCAAACGGCACCCAAGAGGCCCCCCGAGAAGCCTCCCACGAGATTCCAACCAACATCCGATAAGCTTCATGCCCGCAGCAACGGCACTGTGACGGGATGGGCCGAAGGCCATTCCGCATACACTGTTGCGTATGGAGAACATGCATGAGTGCTGCGACACATGACGAAAGGCGTGTGAGATATGGGGAAGGGAGACACAGGAACCCCTTGTAGTCGGCGTCCTCGCGCGTGGGTGGTGCCGTACATGTGTATGCGTGCTGTCGTTAGTGAGTGATACACGCGTTGTTTCAATTTTGCAGCTGAAAGGAGGTGTGTGTGTGTATATATAACAATTTATACATCGTCCCAACGTTTGTACTGGCCCGTAGTACGCGTTGATGGCTGGCGTCCAGCCGCAAATGCAGTACACGCCATGTCCATCTGTTGCGCTCGTGGCTGGCACGCCTCCGCGTAATGCGCCACGACCCTCATCTGCGAAACGGAAACACCAAATGAAGCAACAGAGCGACCGCGAAAGCTAACATGAGCTGATCAACTTCGAACACAACGAACATCGAATACATAAGCTGCGGCTCAATGGGACACATCACCGAAGTAAGACAAGCTGAGCGAAAAAGACGAGGCGACATCAAAAAGCAATCGACGAGCCACAACCCGAACGCAAATCCTAAGGCGATCCCTGCCTCTACAAAATCTCAATCGTGCATCTGGCGGACACTGCATATGCTCATCATCATCGTTTCGCGCCACCCCGGTGCGCACACGCACGCATGGCCTGAGGTGTTTGTTTACGACGTGCAGTTGTGTAGAAACCAGATAGGGAAACATGTGTTTGGTTTTCTGTTGCCGAGTCCGGCATTACCTTCTCATCCTCCTCCTCTTCGTCTCCCTTGCTCCTTCTCCTCCTCCTCCTCCTCCTCCTCCTCCTCCTCCTCCTCCTCCTCCTCCTCTGCCTTCTCCTCCGCGTTTCAGCACTTCCAGACGAGACCGTTTGAAGGCTTATCTGAATCGACAGGGACCGACTCAACACGGCATTTCTGTACAGACTACGGCATGCGTGTTACATCCCAGCAGAGGCTCAATCGTGGGGCCCTGGTGCAGACTGATCATAACAAGGCAGGCGGATGCAAGAAAGAGCCCTGGCCTCTGCACACCCCAACAAAACAGCGACGACCTCTTCGCACCACGGATGGTGGATTTCTCGGGGGGCATAGACCCAGGCATGCTCGCGTCGTGCAAAAATCAGACGGAGGTGCTTCCTCGTTTCGGGCCTCTATGGGGCCCTCCCCAGGATGAAAAGCCGGTCCCGGGGGAAGGGTCGGGACTTCAGGGGACCCCGTACCGAAAAAATCAGGGCATCTCATGCCTGGGAACTGACCACCTCGCCGATACTGGCGGGGTCGATCCTGAGCCAAGGATGGGCATGGCCAGGACCAGTGAGGTGGCCAGGTGGCGTCGCCAAATATCTGGCGCAAGTTCCAACGGGCACTCCTGCCTGAGCCGTTTTACATGCCTAGTCACATGAGCAAGAAATGCAAGGACAATTCCACCGCAGCCGGCCTAGCAGCAGAAGCTCGCGACGCACAGATTCTGTGCGGGAAAGAAATGGTGATGCATCTTTCACAAACGCACTGTATCTTGAAAATCAAATCCTCCGACTCACACTTGCAGTGTGAGAAGGCGTGTAAAACCTTTGGCGGCCAACTTCTCTCCGACTCCCTCTTCCCCGAGGGTCTAAAATCCCGTCAGCGGGGGAATGACTTTGTCAGCGCACCTCCAAGTCCCGAGGGCTGCTCCGAAGTGCTGTGCGGTCCCCTACAAGCTCTCCAAACATCCCAACGTCACTGCAAGGTGGCCAAATCAACCTACAGTTCGGTCCAGGATGACCTAAACATGTCGCCAAATACAGCCCGAGTGGGACACGCCAAAGATCAAAGATAGCTCGGCAGAGGGCCCGAAAGGCCCACAGACATCGAAGGTCGCTTGGGAGGTTGCCTGTGCTTTCCATCTCCCGCCTGTCGTTTCAGCATGGCCTCACGAGGGCATTCAGGGACCTCACGACTCCAAGACGGCCCAAGATGTCCCCAGGATGTCAAGAAGATTTCCCCAGAGGGATGCAAAGTTGCCTCTGACCTCAAGACAGCTCAGTAGAGCACAAGACCGCCGAACGACTCTGAGAGACCGCCTCAGGACCCCCCAGAAGTCCCGAGAGGCCAAGCAGAGGACAACAAACTGGCCCCAAGATTAGGTCGGGCATGTCCCCCTACAGGCGCATTTTGGACGAAACGCAAAACAATACACAACAAATGCCCAAACCTAGCCAACCAATTTTCAAAAAGTCGTCCCCTGACTATTGTTGGACTATTTCTTGATATTCCTCCTGTAGAGGGACACGCCCGACTTAAAGCTGGCCCCAAGAGGAACCCAAGAGAGCCCAGGACGGCGTCAAGAACGCCCCGAGAGAAAGCCCCAAGGCCGCCCCACCAGACGGGCCCAATAGTTCAACCACACACGCGTCGAGGGCACCCCTCTCAAACGCTCGACGATGGAATATTTTTAGGGGGAGCCAAAGGGGGAGATAGCAAAGGGTAGGGTAGAGAATCAGCTCACGTAGCTGACTTTCCCAGCGCCTCCCGGCGCCGGGAGGCGCCCAGGTATCCAGGAATGGGCCCGGCGGCGGGGCCGAAACCAGCTGCGTGCGGCAGATTTCGTACCCCCCCCTTTCCCATCCCTCCCCTTGCGATCGGCCCAAATTTCCTGGCAACCACATTCCTCCTCCTTATCCTGCTCGTCCGCATCCTGTTACGGGGGTCTGCGGACTGGCGTAAGCCTGTTGAGTATCTCTGTAGTGCTGGTGACAGGAGAAGACAGCTGCGAAGTCCTCACCCGAATGCATGCGCCGGCTGCTCGAATTGAGCACACAAGCTTCCACCGCGCTGGCAAAATGTTCTTGTTCCTCCCCATGCTGCTTCGCCGCGATGCCGAAAACGACCGCCCGGGAGACGCATTCGGGTTCTGAGGCTTCGGTCCGCGTGAGGCCGTTCCAGATTGCAAGCGTCTTGGCCGGTGCGGAGCGCGCAGTCGCGTTTGTGCTCTTACTGTGCCCCTCACAGCCCGAGGGGGGGGGATGGAGCCTGGCCTCTACGTGAGGCCGCTTCAGAGTACTGTTCCCCGCACGGCCCGAGGGGGGGGCGGATGGAGCCCTGGCCTCGACGTGGCGCCGCCTCGGACCGCGAGCGCCTCGGCCGGCGCGGAGCGCGCAGCCGGGACCGTGCCGCTCGCAGCGCTCCCCTCCTGCAGCCCGCAGGGGCGGGGGGGGGGATGGAGCCCGGCCTCGGCGTCGTGGAGGCCCTGGGCCTGCCTGCCCCCCTGGGGGTCCTCCGCCGCATCCCCCTCCTCCCCCTCCTGCTCCTCCTCCTCCTCCTCCGCCTCCTCCCCCGCCTCCTCCTCCTCCTCCTCCTCCTCCTCCGCCTCCTCCTCCTCCTCGATCCTCCTCCTCCTCGTCCTCTCCTACGTCCTCCATCCCTCCCCCTCCTCCTCCTCCTCCTCCTCCTCCTCCTCATCTTCCTGGGTGGCGGGGGCATGCTGCATGGGTCGGGGGGGGGGGGCCACGGCCCCAGGGGGGGGTGTTTGTTTCCCGCGCGAGGGCCCCACTGCAACGGGCGCCACTGGCAGCCCGGGAGGAGAGAGCAGGGCTGAACCTAAACGGTGTTTTTTCGTTTTCGTTTTGGTTTCGTTTTCCCTCGTTTTGTCTTCAATCCACCTTTACCAGTCGAAACGAAAGCGGCCCACGAGATCGCCAAAACACCGTTTAGGTCCAGCCCTGGGAGAGAGCCCAGCCAGCCAAGAGGGCACCCTCTGGCAGAACACACCTGCTGGACGGACCGCAGGGCGGGAGAGGTGGCTGGGATCACCGGGAGCCAGACAAGGGGAAGCGCAGGACCCGGGCTGTGCTCGAGCTGAACGGGTCTTGTCTCGGAACCTTCGCACCACCCAGTGCAGTCCCTCCCCCTCCACCTCTGCCCGCTTCTGCAGGGGGCTTCGGCCTTCCAGTCTCGAGGACGAGTGGGGCCAGGGGGGGGCCAGGGCCGCCAGGGGGGGGGGGGGCACGGCCAAGGGAGGGAGGGAAAGCGGTTGGGCGAATTAGCATGAAGGGAGCGCTGCCTGAGAGAACGGTGTCCTGAACAATAGGGCCCCTTCTCACAGGGCTATTCATCAAGAGTCTTATGTTGCTCCCATCGGACTTAAGGACCACATCCTAGACATAATTTCGAGCACCCGGAAAAGTGTCGAAAGAGTGTCGAAATAGTGTCGAAACAGTGTCGGACGAGTGTCCCCCAGGGCCCGACACGTGAAAACCCTCGATTCTCGGCACTGGTTTGAGTGCTCGAGATTCTTTCTGGTGGTCAAGGCTAAAGTAGGTTGGAACATCACAACCTGAGTCATCGTCAGTCAAACCTCGGGGCACGCGGAGGGTCCCAGGAGACCAGGAGCGCCGAGAAACCTGAGCACCCGCCTCCCTCCGGGCCCGCTCCCTCCATGGCGAACTCACCGCGAGGCAAAAGCTGGCGCCAGATTCAGGTTGGGCTCAAACATCCTGCTCAAGAAATGGGCGCCTGCGGCTAGCTCCTGTCTTGCCTTGACCCGAAACCTTCGACCCCGCTTCAATCCCAGGGCGTTTCGAGCACGCACTGGCGACGACGAGCGGCGAGCATGTCCGAGTCCGTGCCCTCTCGGACTGGACTCCCAGGCGCAGTCCCCTGGCGACGCGACCCCACGAATGCGTTCCGCGCGGGCCACCCGCGCGAGGTCGCCGCGTCTCCATCGGTCCAATGAATATGGGGAGGCCTTGCCCAGGTGGGGCCAAAAGCATTGGACCTTGGCCCAATGGCATCGGCCCAATGTGGCGGGCAGAAGATCCACCCGCACAACGATCGCCCCGGCACGCGACGCCGTTTGGCAACCGCACCCACTGAAGCAACCGAACAGGGCAAGGCCGTTTAGCAAACGCCCAGGGCCGTTTCGTAAACAAAAATTGTCGGGTCTGGGTCCCTTTTTCCCCCCTTGACAATATGCCCATTGGGCCAACGCACCCCATGGGCCATGGGTACCTTAAGTCGGGCGTGTCCCCCTACAGGGGGAACGAAACATTAAAAGTACCCCACAAATGGCCCAAAAAAGGTCAAACAATATTCAAAAAATAGTCCCCAGACTGTTGGTGGACTACTTTTGGATTATTTTTGGGGTATCTTTTATGTTTCGTCGAAAATCCCCCTGTAGGGGGACAGGCCCGACTTAAGGGTACCTTGGCATTGCGCCCAATGCGTCCACTGGCCCACTGCCACTGGGCTGGGGCCACGGGGCTCCAGACCCCGAGGCCGTGGATACGGACGACTACACTTAAGTCGGGCCTGTCCCCCGACAGAGGGGATTTTCAGCGATACCCCCAAAAGGTCAAACAGATCTAAACAAATACTCCCAGACTATTTTTGGAGTATTTCTTTTGACTATGTTGGGGGGTATCTTTTATTTTTCGTCGAAAATCCCCCTCTGTAGGGGGACAGGCCCGACTTAAGACTACACGTCGGTCGGGAGAAGTAGGTACAAACATGAGGCGGATGAAGTAGATTGGGCCCAGGCCCTCCCAGAGAATAGCAAAACACAGCAGAAGCATATCGATTGAAGCAGGAAGGCGCTTGAAGTCAACTGGGATCTGGGAGTCCCCCAAATACCTGCCTTCGACGACCGGGCGTGTACGCTCCGAACCCCCGGTGGACCCTGAGAGCCGACTCTGCGGAGCCATTGCGCCATGGCGGAAAATCCCGGCGGGATCCCTGGACCCCATCTCTCTGCGGCATCTGTTCGCGCCGCATCGATCGGTGATGGCACAATAGGCCAAGGCCCGAAATAACCAACGAAAATGCCCAGCGTGACGGAATTCGGGATCTCAGGGGACCTTGAAGCGGACACCTTGTGCCCGTGGGCCATCCGCGCAAAGCCGTCCTGTGTCCCTCGGGCCGAGGCCCAGGGGCCAGGACCGCGAGGCCGTGGACGCGGACACGTTCGCGGCCCACGGTGGATGCTGAGGCGTATACCGCTCCGCTCCTCCTCCCTCCTCCTCCCTCCTCCCTCCTCCTCCTCCGCCTCCTCCTCCTCCTCCTCCTCCTCCTCCTCCCTCCTCCCTCCTCCTCCCTCCTCCTCCCTCCCTCCGCCACTGGGATGACGAGAACTAGAGGTGCCGCTGTGCCCTGGACCGCTCCCCGGGTGCGTTCTCTGACCAGGACTTCCAAGCCAAAGCTACCGATACCGCTGTTCCCCGGACCCCTCCCCGGGTGCGGTCTGACAAGGACTTCGAAGCGAATCCAGCGGTGGCGACGAGGGCTTCCCAGAATGCCCAACAAGGCAAAGACGGGGGCAGGGTAGCGGTACCAGTACCTCTCCTCGGATGATCTGCGAGTCCTCGACCCCCTGAGCTCTCCCAGCGCTTCGCTCCCCTTAGCCCTTTACGGCCTAGCCAACCACGCGATCACTTGCTGTCCTTGCCGCTGGCCTTCTCGCCGGGCACCTGGACCTTGGTGAGGTCGCCGTAGGTCTGCTTGCCGAAGGAGAACGGGACGTACTTGTGCTTGATCATGTGCTTGATGCGGTCCTTCATCGTGAGGGTGGTCAGCAGGATGAAGTAGGCCAGCAAGATCGGCCAGAAGACGGGGAGGTCAAAGCACGAGAAGCACGTCATGAACAGTGCGACAATCTCGGCCTTGAACGCGTTCCACCAGGCCTTGAACTCGGGGAGCTTGCGGATAAAGATCTGCTCCCCGTCCTTGTTGGGCAGCGACATGCCCTCCTCCTCCTTGTCGGGGTCCACCGCGGGGGTGAGAAAATTAATCAGGATGTTCAGCAGGTAGATGCCGAGGCCGTAGGTTACCACGTAGAACCCCTGCGCCAGGTAGATCCGCAGGAGGAACAGCGGCAGGAGGCAGAAGACCGCCCCCCACCTCACCCTGACCCACGGAACCGTTTTGTCGAGGTAATGCTGGAACTTCGCCTGCAACGCTGCCGCCTGCGCCTCGGCGGCAGACGTCTCGCCGGAGCAGCCCTCCATCAGGCCTTCGCTGAAGTCGGGCCTCTTGCCGAAGGCTCTCCCAAAACCGAGACGCCCTTCCAGCGACAGCGCCTTCAGCCAAAATGGCTCTGGATCTTCCCACCTGAGACGAAACTGACGAAACTAGGACAACGAGAAGCCGGGGCGAGGAAGAATCGAGAATCTCCTAGATCCGGCGGATCTGGAGGATGTCTCGGGCGCCGCGGCCTCGTTCCGGAACGCTCTGGAACGGATTCATTCTCGTCTTAGCCCCGTCCGGTGACCCGTGTCCAGAGGTCCGGGGCCCCGGACACACGCCTCTTCGGAAGGACGGAAGACACGACTGCCGTCGACCATCCACGCATGGCGGGGCATCCCACGATTTCCGGCGCAGAGCTCAGAACAACGTGCTTCCTTTTGCATGCCCCGAGCGGCAGACGCAGACCTCATTGCTCGCATGCGCGAGCCGCCAAGAGCAGGCCGCTTCTGGAACGACGCCTCTGCGAATTCGCGGACACCTGGGGATCTGCTCGGCGAATTAGGCCGGTCGGGTATGCTTGGCGAAATGGGGTCCCGCCGAATCCCGCAGGACTCCACTAGACCCCCTGGAGGGGCCGTCTCGCCCAGCAGCTGCTCCAGCAGCGCCCCCTGGCTTCTTATTGAGTCGGACTCGGATCAACTTAGCGTGTCTTGGAAACGCCCTGCAGGTGTTTGTTGTTGCTGTTGTTTTTTCTATAAAGCAGATTTCCAGGTTTCATCCAAAAACACGTTTTTCAATAGTTTGTCGTCAGTTTCCAGGTTCATCAAAAAAACACGTTTTTCAATAGTTTTTCGTTTCCAGGTCTCCGCGGCGATGCGTTTTTGATCGTTTCCCACGTCAATCCAAGGGATCGTTTTCTTCTAGTTTCCAGCTTCGTTGTTTCATCGTTTCCAAGTCTGCCTCGCAACGTGCTGTGTTGTATCCAGTACTGACTGGCAACGAACGATGCGAGCTCGACACGATCTCTCCAAAAGGCTTCTCTGATCTCTTATCGTGCTTTGCCTGTCAATCGCTGTCCGATCCCGTGCGCGTCAGAGCTGGAGACATCGTCGATGTCATAACGGCCGCGTCGGCGTCGCAACGGCGGCCTCAGCGGCGGCGGCGACAAGCGACATCCTCAATGTTTCCGCCTGGGCCAAGGGTCGAAATTGCCTGGTTGAGACCGTGGCCAATACATTTCCAATACGTTTTCAACACGTTTCCAATTCCCCATTCCAGTGGGTCGGACAGCGACTGACAGGTAACGCACGATAAGAGCTGGACACTCTCTCCAAACAGTTTCTCTGTTCAACCTCCTACCCGCTGCAGCCGCCACCTTTCTCATATGCTGTCTGGTGCTGCCACTGCCTGTCGCTACGGCCTGCTGCTACTGCTCGCTGCTTCTACTGCTCGCTGCTGCTGATGCCCGCTGCGCCGCCCGCCCCGTGTTCATTATCATCGGCACTCTCGTGTTGTACCGCTTGTTCACCAACCCGTTTTTTATAGTTTCCAGGGGGGCAGTTCCCCTACCGTTTCCAAGTGCCCGCTGCTGGCTCGCAAGGCACAGAAGCTGGAAACTATAAAGAATCGCCCAGGGCGTTTCCAAGACACACCAAGCGGATCAACCTCGCGCGTCCGTAATCGCCTCACAGAGGCATCCCAAACTGCCCACGAGGCCCGCCAAGGGGGCCGGCCGTGCGGCGTCGACCTTAGAACCAACAACTGGCCGCTGGTTTCCCAACCCTGGATACATATATATATATATATATATATATATATATATATACATACACATTATATATATACATATATATATATATATGTGTTTCCCGCACGCGACGGATCCCAGGAGGGGGGATCGAGGCTTCAGGGTCGAGCGCAGCGTGTCTGGTGTTGCGCGTTGTGGGGGCCTTCCTGGGCTTCGGAACGTCTCCAAGGGCGCCGCCCAGGGTCCGCGGTGGAGAGCGAGGGAGGACGAGGGGGATCACTTTCTGGTCGCGGTGACAAAGAGGCTCATCGCGGTCGAAGTTGCGCGGGCGTGGAGGGTGAG